CCCCTTCGTATCTAGTTTAAAGCCCTCCAAATGGGCAAGGAACAAGTAGTTTAACTCAAATTATATTATAACATGGGAAAAGTGAAATCCTCTTTTACTTCAGAATCACTGTTTCTGTAGCAGCAGCAAGGTGTAGTGAACAACATTACTGATGTATTGTTAAAAGTCCTGGATTTATCAAAATTTTTTTGTGCCTGTTGTACCTTGTACCAGATAGAGCTGAGTACCATGACATCATGTAAGGTGAGCTGTGCTTCACAGAAATGGGTTCTTGAGCTGTTATGTTCTCCAGAGAGTCTTGCCAGACATAAGACATCACAAGCAACAGCTGTTCCTCTCAACTGGGTGAAGAAATATTTTCCATCAAATGTGGTATAACTTTCTGAGAGCTCTGATTTTATTATTTGATTTGCTTGAAAGAGTCCAGCGCAGAGTCACAAAGATGATTGAGGGAGTGGAGCATCTCCCTTATGAGGAGTGGCTGAGGGAGCTGGGTCTCTTTGGCTTGGAGAAGAAGAGGCTGAGGGGGGACCTCATTAATGTTTTTAAATATGTAAAGGGCGAGTGTCAGGAGCAAGGAGCCAAGCTCTTCTCAGTGATAGCCAGTGATAGCACAAGGGGCAATGGGTACAAGGCGGAGCATAGGAGGTTCCATGTGAACATAAGGAAAAACTTTTTCACTGTAAGGGTGACAGAGCACTGGCACAGGTGGCCCAGAGAGGTTTGGGAGTCTCCTCCTCTGGAGACATTCAAACCCCGCCGGGACATGTTCCTGTGTGACCTAGTCTAGGTGATCCTGCTCCGGCAGGGGAATTGGACTGGATGATCTTTTGAGGTCCCTTCCAACTCTTAATATTCTGTGATTCTGTGATCCTTTGGAGCAAAGTAATATTAGCACCTGAAATTAGTCCAAAAGTTGGGTCAGGAAAAAAAACTCTAACTGAAATCTACTTTCTGCCTTTTTCAAGGGTTAGAACCCTTTTTAAAATATTAAGCTGGAAAAAGAAAAAAAAATCTCTACCCTGTTAAAAATTAGAATCCCCTTTCAGTTTTGGTTTTGACAGTGAGAGAGGAAGCAGATGGAGTTTATGATGGTCATCTGACCTACGTTCTTTGGCTGACTTCCACCCCTACTGTTGCAAGATTGCTGTAGTACTACTCCACTTATCCTGATTTCTTTTTATATTTTATACTTGGCTGTGGTGCAGATTGAAGTGGATATTCCTCGTTGCCATCAGTATGATGAATTGCTGTCATCACCAGAGGGTCATGCAAAGTTTAGACGTGTATTGAAGGCCTGGGTTGTTTCCCATCCTGATTTGGTGTACTGGCAAGGTGAGTTTGACTAGTTGGCAAGATCAGTTAATTAACTAGAAAGCTATGACTGGCTTAAAAGTACCTCTTCCTCCTCTCCCTGAAATGTAACCATTTTTTTGAGTGCTTTCCTTTCTATTTCTTTTGAAGATCCTAATAATTTGTATTTTTTTTAATGAAGAATTGACCACTCTCTTATATTTATTCTCCTTAAGTTTCATTCATTTTATTTAAAAAAAAAAAATTAAAAAAAAGAAAATCTGTTGCTTAATTTTCATTTCCAAAGTAAAACTGTAGAAGTTACTGAGTGAGTTCTTGGGTTTATAAATTGCTTTACTTGGAAGCCTCGACAGAATAATCACTTGAGCATTATAGTTCAACAATTTGAAATCCTCCTTTTTTCATGCATTGATTTCACAGTTATTCTCAGCATTACATGTGAAGCCAGACATTGCAGAGTTATAATCAGTATCAAGTATGCAAGTTTTCATGATGAATTAATGAATTTATATTGTGCATTACAGCAAATGAGCTCTTTATGCCGTTTCTTCATGGCTCTGCTCTCTTTAGGTCTTGACTCTCTTTGTGCACCATTTCTGTACTTGAATTTCAATAATGAAGGTGAGTACCTTTTTCTGCTGAGAGTGAAGGGGAAGCACAGTCTGTCATCTGTACGTAGTTGTCAGCAGATATGTGTGCACCCGCTTATCGATGGGAACTTTCTGTAGCTACAAAGGAATTTTAAAGCTCTTGTTGCCACAAGTCAAAAGTTATGGTTGGTTTTTGGAAAGTGTACGTGGTGTACTGCTCTTCAAGCAGAGATTCAAACACTGTGTTTACCGCCAAGTACAGTAATTAATTCATAATAGAAAGCACAAATAACCTTGATTATATAAAAGCAAGAAATGCTTCTCTAGCAGTCTAGTAGTCTAGTCTTTTTCAGTGAAGCTGTAGTTCAGCCTTGTTTAGTGTGAATGTGTTATTTGTTAACCTGTTAATCTGTCAGACTAGGTTTATACAGCAAAGCTGACGGTTTTAAATGCCTAAAAGCTTGTCAGACCAGCTTTGGTTATGTGGCCTTTTATCTTCTTAGAATGTGATTTGTTCAGAATAGGTCTAGTCCAATTTTCTGTTCTCTTGCACCTGGCTTTCTTTATATAAGGCCTCTGTGTGGAAAAACTAGTTTCTTAGGACGACCCTATTATGCCTGCTGTGCATACTAATTTAAATACTTCATCAGATTTTTCTTGCTCTTGGACATGTTCCTGTACAGTTTGATTTTAGAACCTGTTCTCCTTGTAGCAAAATATGATAGTGAAATATGTAGAATTTTGTGTTCTGATTTACAAGCTTAATTGTACTCATTTGGCTCAAGTATTTAAAGTGGTTCCAGTGCTAGAAAGTTGTAAAACAGAATTAATTTATAATTCATTTAGATCCTATGTCGTATTTGCTGTAAATCTGATGTTTTGCTTAGAAACTTCCCAAGTTATATTTATTGTCTTTGGACAATTTATGACAAACCCGCATATCTTTTTAATATCTGCTGTCTAGCACCATGGGTAAGAATTGTATTACAATAGACTGTCTCTCAGCCAAGTTCCCAGGAATTAATCAAGATGATAAACACTTAAGCTTTTACCCTCTGATCTCTGTTTGGTATGTATGAGGAGCCACTAAAAAATTTGAGAGGTTTTTGTCCATCTTTTTGACAGTATTTGTAATTGCATTCCACTCTGGTTTTTTTTTTTTTAATTCTGGATTCTTTAGTCACTGAGCTGAAGTAAGAGATGAGATGTGAGTCTGATTGGGGCATAAACTGGGTGTATGTTTTATAGAAGAAAACCCAGAAGACTGCAACAGTGCAGTTGTCTGAAACTGAGTCTTATAAAATTTCATTCATCGAGGATCTTCACTTTTTTGATACAAACATCGCCATGGCCTTTCAAACATCATCTCATTATGTTGTGGCTGAGAAGTATGGAAATAAACTAGGAGCAGATCAGGTCCAGCAAGCTTTCTGTTGATTACTCAGTGACATAAGGGAGATGTTTCTAGGAGCTTTTAAAATTCCGTAATGAGGAATGGTGCCCTTTTATGTGTTTTACAGTAGTTTTTGTGTATAGATTGGTATAATTATTTGTGCTTATTATCTAATTAATAATGAACTTTTTTAGGTGTACTTATGTTTCTGCCTCTGAGGTTGCATATATTTTTCTAATTCTTTCAGCTCTTGCGTATGCCTGCATGTCTGCTTTTATACCCAAGTATTTGTATAACTTCTTTCTGAAGGATAATTCCCATGTTATTCAAGGTAAATCAATCCCTTTATTTTTTGTAGTTCTAAGAGAAGTAGAATTATTTCTGGATATATAAGTACACTTTTTCAAGTGATAGTGAAATTGGAACACAATTAGAATCATACTGTAGGAATAACTTTCTTTCAAAAGTTGTATTTTAGATATATAAGAACAACAGCTGTGCGAGCAAAATATGAACAAAATAGGTGGGTAAAGATTCAGGCAGGAGAAAAAAAAACAACTGAACACACAACCCCCAATACAAAAATATGTATCAGCCAAATTTAAAAATCTAGGTCAGTTTGATTCTGTGATCCAAAGTAGTGTAGGCGTTCCTGAGATCCTGTGCAACATCTGACGTCATCAAGGACTCAGAGACACTGGACCTTTTAGGATTCTTTCAGTATTCTGATTTAATCCTTTCTAGGGTCATATGGTAAACACCAATGTGTAAATACAGTTTTAAAGGAAAATTTCCCTCTCTTTATTGCATTGGAAGAAAGTGTTAAGAATGTATCCTTTAACTGCTTACTGCAATTTTAGCATCTTAGCTTCTTTGTGTGTTCCCTGGAGGTGTGGACACCTGATGAAAGGTGCTGAAGACAGGTGCTTTTTCTATGCTTACCAGATTAGGTAATTTCTTTACATAAAATAGGAAGCAAGTGTAGTTAAAGGGGTTTGGGTATGGAATGCCTAATTATGTAAAACAAAAATTCATATAATAAAATTCCAACCAGCAGCAATTGGCTGGGCCTAAGTGATACGTCTTTGTGAAGATTTGTGTGTTTTCAATAGACCCTTAATTAACTGTGTAATCCCACACGGTAATTATATTTCATGGGACTGGCTGGTCAAATAGAGGTGGTATTTATCAACCTGTACTACATCTGTAGAGAACCATCGTGGGCATGAATCTTCATTTTTACAATAAATGTTCTTCAGGGAAGCTAATTGTGAATTATTTTCATCAGCATACAGCTGAATATATAGGAGTGTGTAGGATAACTGGTTTGCTATACCTGACTTATGATTACTGACAGTTTCATGAAATAAAACTGATGTAAGACACACCATATTTAAAATTTTATCATGTAGTGTTGTAGGTATTTAAGGCATGGATTCATTTATCTCCCTAACACTGTAGGCATATGGGTAAGAATAACTGGCTTGAAACTGAGAAAACCTGAGATACGTGAGCAGCTCCAAAGCAATCTGGCCTTGGTGACACAAAACTCAGCGTGGGTCTGTTTACCAACTTAACTCCCCATCTGGGTGCTGGGAGAGTATCTGTGGCATGAGAGAGATGCAGTGTCAGAGGGAAGAGGTTGGTATTCGTGAGATGCCAGAAACCTCCTAAGAGATTTAGCGTGCTGTGGCTTTGTCTTTGCAGCTTGCAGCAAAAGTTGTGAAATTCTGAAGTGGGCTCAGGAGGTCTTAATTTTTGTTGCCACTTACCTTGGAGAATTTGACATCCTTTCAGGTATAATTTGCACTAGGACTGTGGCTTGTTTCCCTTGTGTTCTTACAGTGAGAGCATTGTTTATCAGTCCTCCTGAGGCAGAATCAGCTTTTACTTTTTCTAGTCCAAATAGAATTATTTTACGGAGTGATTGTTCCTGACTTGCTGGCTTAACCTGAGAGGAGGTAACTTGAGTGCAGATAATCAAGATTTAAGTAAGAGAGGAGTCTATAGACAACTGAATGTTCGGACCCACTTCTATTATTAAATAAAGGTGTCTGTGTGAAATTATCCCAGCAGAGCCAGTTCTGTGCTTCTCAGTAGTGCAATTGGAATTTAATTTTGCCACTTCAGGGGTGAAGACAAACTGAGTAACAGGGAGGTACTTGCTTTCCACAAGAGAGACGGTAGTAGGCTTCTGGTCCTTACAACAGGCTTTAAAGGAAGCAGCGGCAGCTCTGGATGGCTGATTTGCGGAGCTGTGTGTACTTGGTGTTTAGGGGCTTGTATTTGGCAACAGTAGTCTTGAGTAGGGGCTTGAGATGTTGGCATGTTCTGATCTAGGAGCAGGGTTCACATTCTCTGTCTCTCTTTATCCCCTCAACTAGCTGTCTGAGCCCTAATTACTCTCTTATTGGGAGTGTGGAGGAGAAGGAATTGCCATCTGTTAGGAAATTGCAATGTTATTGCCTCTTCATCTTACTTCTAACAAAGCATGTGACAATACGGATGAAATTGGGAGAGGGGCAGAACAGAGAAAGAGAGAGAGAGAAAAATCTGTTAGTGTCTGTGTTCTGCTGTCTGCTTCTCTTCCAATTAAAATTAGACTACTTAATGAAATTGTGCCCATCAGACTGATGTGCTGCACTGAAGATGTAGTAAAATATCTCATCAAAAAACCCACAAATTAAGATAATACTCGTCATGGAAATGGCAACCCTAAAGACCCATTGCCTTAACACCTCGCTTCTGGACTACAAAATTTGACTTTGTAGAAAAGAAACCACACAGAATATAATTTGTAAGTAGTATAAAGAGTATAAACTTTGTGTATCACTAAAATAGTTTGGGCCTTAAAAATGCTTGGAACAGCCTTGTTCTAATTCACTTCCATCAATATCTTATGGCTCATACTCATACTGAAAAGACTTTAACTTTGCATGTTGAACATTAACTATGAAGCAAGTAAACCATTTTTGAAAATCTGAATTGAAGAATACTAAGGAAGAGAAATGGAACATTTCTTCCTCTGTATTGAGTAGAAGGGTTACAAGGAGGACAGCAGTGATATTCCCTTGCTGTTTTATTGTAGGTTTTAAAAAAACCATAGTATTCTTCATTTTCTGGAGCTCTGGTGTGAGCTTGCAACATGTGGTGGCTTCTGTTTTTTGACGATGGTCTTGAATTTGCTTATCATTTCAGAATACCTGACGGTGTTTTCCCAGATGATTGCATTCCATGATCCAGAGTTGAGTAACCACCTTAATGAAATTGGTTTTATTCCAGATGTAAGTGCTAAAGGTTCTTGTAAATATTATTCAAAGGAAGTGAAAAATGGAAAGTGAGAGCAACTAGGATGATATACCTTTCCAGGCTATTTCAGTAGCAGTTTGACAGAAATAAAACTTGCATATTAATAGACCTTTCTGAGTATGCTGATAAAATGGCATAGTTTTGCTTGTTGTTTTACATACATCAGTCATTCCCATTCTGTTGGCATGGTAAATAATAAAATTACTACTAGTCAGTTATTATTAACTTACAGATCAGTCTTTTAAGATGTATATAATTTTATTTTTTAAGTGTGGATTAATATACAAAAATTAAAGTGGCCATAGATGATTAATAGCAAAATTTCTGCAAACTGGTTAAATGCCATTAGTTAACACAAAAGACACATCAGTTTGCAAGCAATACAGAAAGTGTGTGCAAGTGATTGTTCATCTGTAGATGTGCCAGACCTTGGCTAATGGTTATCAGTCATTTATTGGAGTCTGTCAAAAACCATTAGACAAGTGCATAACTAATGCCTAAGTTTTATGCTTTCATTGGAAGAAGTCTGTAAGATGGAGGAAAATGAAAACTGAGAACACAGACAAAATCTAGTAGAGAGGGACAGGTACGTTGGACAAAGCAAAACAAGGCCTTCTGTAGAGTCTCACTTTTAGCCATCTCTGTAAATAGTGAAGCTTTCCTCCTTTGTTTAGAGGTGTGCATAGTCCAGAAAGCCAAGATCATGTTTTAGAGCATTATCAAAGTTTATGGCTGATGTTTCTGAAAAGTAAATTTAGGCAAGACTATAGAGAGACATCTCTTAATTGATACTGTCTATGTCATGATATATTTGACATTTAGAAATTTGGTAATTACAAGTAAGAATAGAGGATGACTGAGGTCAAAAGAAGAAGGAAACTGAAGTCAGAAGATGTTGATGTAGAAATATAGATTACATAAATAAGAAATTTTAATACATTTTTTCTATAAACAATATAAAGCTGCTTTTATCAGAAAAGCCTTATACTTATTAGGAAATGCTTTACCCTGATGCAGCAAGGCCAAGCCTCTGAAAGTCATTGGTTGTACAAAATTCCTGGGTGAATTTGTGTGTGGGACCAGCAGATACTTTTTATCATTATTTACAAAGATGTTAATGGAAAAACAAATAAATGCTTTCATTTATAGAAGTGTTTTTAATGTAATAATGTTGTTTATGAATGCTATAAATTGAAAAGAGACTGTAGCATTAAAATGAGCAGAAGAGAGAGCCAGTGGATTGCATTATAAACAGATATTTGAGAAGGCCGTATGTATTGCTGATGACCCATATCCGAAGAGGGTGAGTGGGAGGAACATGAAGGGAAGCTGAGGAGAGGGAAGAACATTCATATGTAGAAAGCCTAACTATCGGGGGGGATAAAGGGCATGGGTGACAGCAATATTTAAGTTCCTGAGGGAGAATCAATTTTGCAGCATCACTGTATGAATGCATTTGACATTTGTTTGTTAAAGGCTGTGGATGACCAAAGCAATTCCTCTGTGTATTTGGTCCAGGGTACTAGTTCCCACTGAAAAGGTAGAGATGTAACTTCCCTGATCATCTCACAGGTCCTCGTTTCTGCAGCTAACCTACATGGGCGCTCTGTTAGCTGATCTTTCAGCAGCTCCTAGTGTCTGCTTATACAGTTATAATTCTCCACTGAAAACTTTCAAGGTGTGAGTCAGATGGAATTGTTTAAAATCACTTGTTTTGTTATACTTTTTGTGTTGTGCTAGTCATTGGACAGCACATAGTCAAATGTGAGCCTTGTCTCTAGGTATTGCAGTCTGGAGATGATTAGGTAACGCAGTAAATAATTACAAAACAGAGATTATTAAAAAAAAACAAACACCCTTGTGTTGAATATAAATGCTAGTTCTAAAATTACCACTAATGTCTGAAGAGAGGTTGTCTTTTCTAAATCCTCTTTTATTTATATTAAAAAAAAAAGTTGTTCTGCCTTTCAGATGAGTAAGGAAGGTGATTTTTGTACCTGTAACAAGACAGTACAGGTTCCATCAAGGTGAAAGATATGCACTGTAGTAATGAGATCTGAACCAGAGTTTTGTGCTTGAGTACTAATGCTATCAAAGTAAACCCTGATTAATCTTTCATCACCTAAACTCTGGCTCCGCTGCAGGAAAGATTGTGTTTCCTGGCACCCTTCCCATTTGCTCTGGGTCACGTAGCTCTCAGAATATCAAACACTGCTGAAGCTTGAATAGTTGTGAATGTTGTTAGCTGATGTGGTGTCTGAATTAAGTACATTGCTGTGGCTATGTGATTTACGTGTAAATGGAGGGATATATGTGGTGAATCTTAACATTCTTTGCTCCCTTTCCCAAAGTTTATGATCTCCCCCACCCTATATAATGTTTTATAACACATTCTGTATTTTACTGAATAATTCTGACATAAACAGCAGACCATTTACATCTGAATAAAAACAAGGAAATGTGCTACATTATTAAAAGGGTAACTGTAGCCATAAATTATTCTAAAGAGCTTTCAGCTGCAAGTTGTGGAAGCTAGACACAGTTGTCAGCTGGCCATTAACAGAGATGACAAAATCTGGCTGCAGTTACTTAGTATCATCGTGCTGGAGCTGTTGTCATAGGTAGATGCCTTAGCTTGGTTTTGGCAATATGCAGGAGATGTCAGAAATAAGGCTTCATCTAACTGAGAATTAAAAATCCTGCAATGGAAGTGCTGTATCACTGTTTGTTCTGTTACATGATTGCCTAGTGGTGAATCTGGGGATGGAGTTTCTTACTGGTGTTTTTGTATTGTGAGGAAAGTGATCGTTCTTCAAATTTTGTTTGTGTAGGTGCATATATGTGTGTAGAATCTAATGTTAACAACTGAGCTTAATCTGCATTCTCTCTGCATCTCCAGTCAGCAAAACATTTTTGCACCTTTCTGTAGCATTTAAATCTATGGTTAATTGTCTAGGCACCATATAGGCTGAAGCTAAGTGTATCTGTGTGTATTTCAAAGATGGAACGTGAAGGTGCAATATCAGGATTTTATGTAGATAGACTATTTCACTTGGAAGGGACCTACAACAATCATCTGGTCCAGCTGTCTGACCCATTCAGGGATGACCAAGTTAAAGCACGTGAAGCATTCATTGTCTAAACACCTCTTAAACACTGACAGGCATGGGGCATCAACCACTTCTGTAGGAAACCAGTTCCAGTCTCTCTTCATCCCCTTGGTAAAGAAATGCTTCCTAATGTCCAGTCTAAACCTCACCTGGTGCAGCTTTGGGCCATTCCTACAATGTCCTATCACTGGATACCAGGGAAAAGAGATCAGAAAAAAAAATTCAAGTAGTGTGAAATACATGGGGTTTTTTTATTAACTGTAAATTACTTTTATAATAGTGAAGACATGACAGTTTAGCACTTTAAAATAACACACTGCATTGAATGACAGACAGTCAGGTGAGGATTCTTCTATAAAGGATTACAAGAATAATGGTTACTCCTATTGTGTTTGTTTTCTCCAAAACTGTTGGTATTTAACCTTGATCTCTACTCTATAATTCTATGGGGTGTGAAGGGTGAACTTTCTTAGATTTTTAAAAAAATTTTAAGAAGTTTTTGGTAAACTTAAGTATTATATACAAACATAACGACCAAGAATTTTTCAAGAAAGTTGGCATTTTTGATATTTTGAAAACTCAAACCTTCAACTTTAAATAATTAATTTTCATCCTGCAACCACATGTGTAGTTTCACTGTAGCTGGCTTATGATGTTCATAAGGTGCACCTGGATCATACAGGACAGCCACTTTATTCTTACAGACTATCACAGAGCAAGAAACTTGTGTATGCCTTTTAAATACTCCCAACCATCCCCACGAACAAGCATTAACACTCATCTTCACCTTGCTATTCCTTTTAAAATACCTTTAGAATCAAAATCCTCTGAGCCTACATATCTTTAAAACTATTGACTTTACAACTGAAATCTCAGTCTTCTGTAGACACTTGTAAAACTCTCATCTTCTGAAGGAACAGTCAAATAATGAAACAATCCAGACAGTAATAACAGGTAATAACAAAATCCTCATGGAATCATAGAATGTATTGGGTTGGAAGGGACCTTTAAAGATCATCCAGTCCAACCTCCCTGCAGTGAGCAGGGACAATGTTACTAGATCAGGTTGTTCAGAGCCCCATCAAGCCTCACCTTGAATAATGTGAGGGCGATCTGGCTGTGACATTTGTCACCCCATTGATCACCAGGGGTGATTTGACTGACCTGACTGGCTAGGCAGATGTCCCCTTCCTCCCTCACTGCTCCATGTGTGTCCCTCCTGAAGCTGTGCGCTCAGTTGAAGGGGATGTCCTTCCCCAGTAGAGACATACTGTTCATTGGTCAAGGGTATACTCTAGCTGTGTTCCCCTGCTTGAACCTCCAAACAAGCTCATGGAAAAGACTTTTATCAAGATTTGGGCCAGTATCTCCAAGAGCTTTGACCACCTAATGGGAGATGCACTCTTCTCCAAATATGCCCATCTAACTATGGGCAAGCAATCTTCACCCTGTTGAAAAGCAATGAACTATATCTCCAAGCTCGGGCACTGAGCAGAATTTGTCATAGCAGAGCACTATTGGAAAGGGAGCTTCAGCAAGGGATAATGGAAAGATGGAGAATGAAACCAAGTCTAAGGACAAGAAATTTCAATTATAACTAAAAAAAACCTGTGGATTTATTCAGATTGTATGAATGGGAACTGATGTTAGGGGACTGATATGTTCTTCATATGTCCAAGTCCTTACTTAAACGCATGAAAGAACTATTTTACTAGCAGAGCAAAAGGATAATTATGGCATTGCTGATCTCAAGCTCACTCTAAAAAATGGAGTATTGTTGTTACAGGCTCTTATTTTAAAATGTCTTATTCTTACGCTGTTCCAGCAGTTCAAACGCTACACAGATTAAACATTAGGTGTGCTTCCCAGCTACGGAGAGCTAAATGTCGATGAAAAAAACACAACCCCATTATGTTTCAGGTTTCGGTAATGAATGGTTGAAAACACTTCTGACAGCAGCCGGTTAGTACCGAAGCGTGGCACAGTGCTGTTCCAGCCGGTGATTGCTAGAGGGCACTATTTACTAATACTATGTTCAAAGAGCAGTCCTTTGAAAGAATTTGGTAGCCTATCTGGGGCCATTTGTCAGTGTTTTTTCAATGTGACTTGCATGGTGGAATAATACCACCAGTGTTGTGGCTTTTCTTTGTTTGCTTATTAACAGTAATTATAACCTCTTCAGGTTTAACAAGACCTCCTTGTCTTAGAACATTATATTTATGAAAATCAGTGGGAAAAATCCCTTCAATAAAGACTTGCCCGATATCTTCTACTTAAAAGTTTGACCTGCTTATCATGTCACTGTTGATTGGTTTGGTGAGAGTGGTTTGGAGCAAAGCAGTGCTTTGTCTTGTGGTTACCTTTTAATAAGCTGTTTAGTGTTACAAATTTTGTGGGTTTTTTTCCTTGTATATTTCCATGTAGAAGCATACAAGATAAAGGTATTTGTGAAATTAGGAGATCGTATCGATCTGCTTTGGTCAAACATTTTAATCAAATATATGAAAAGGAGAAAGTAATTGCTTTTAAATACGAAGGAAATAATGTAATTCAAAATGTTGTGGACATAATATGTATCTCCAAGCTGATCACAACCACTGTAGGGGATATTTCAGGGAGCAGGGTATGTTGTTATTCAGTAGAGAGCCATCTATTGAAAGCATGACAAAAATATACTCGGGGAAATAGCGTGAATGTATTATAAGATGAAAATGGTGATAGAAATGTATTTGTTTTGGGTTTTAATCCTTAAAATCAATTGGTGGGTTGAAGGCCAACCTTTATAAAAAACCTCCTGAACACTGAAAGTGGTGAAGAGTCTGGTCATCGCAGCTTTTTAGTTTTATGGACAGTATGGTTCAGATAATATCAGATACTCAGATGAAGATATTGGAATAAAATTAGAGAGAGCCATGCTAGAGAGTTTTTTTTTTCTCAGCAGCTGTGTGCATAATTTAATCAGTGCCCATAACCCAGTTAAGAGTTTATGGAGTAAGTAGTAATTTATTGACATAATATCCATTATGCTTTCTGCTTTTCATTTGCTTATTTCCAGGGAAAGCTTAATAGGAGAACTAATTTCCACTTTTTGTGAGCTAAAAAGTAATATATTAAGCTTTATGTCTAACTGTAAATCTTCAGAAGTGGAAAACAGAGCACGTGATCTATGAAACTGAATAAAATTTAACAATGACCGTCTTGCTCTTGCACTCCTAATTTGTGGGGACTTTCTGTGCTGTTTGATGTTTTATGGAAATAGTTTCTGTTGCCTTCAACAAACTGAATACTTCAGTGAAAATTGAGAAACTCTTAAGATGTCAGAAATGCTTAGCTCATCTTTTTTTGCAAACATAAGTCTACTGAGAGCGGTGGTTGTTTTTCTTGTTGTTTTCACTAGAGTTTCACAAACCAGTAATTTAAAAATGATGAGAATAGGGACATGGGAGAGGAAAAAGCTTCTCTGAGGGGATTTAAAGTTAAGATAGTGGTACTGCCACTGCAATTATTTCCCATTTTAACTACGTTCATGCCAAGCAAGGCAATTTTTAATGTAGAAGGCAATTACCACAGACAACTTCAGCTCTTATTAAAACATTTTTTTGTTCTTTTCCCCTCACACCCCCTTTTGCAGCTTTATGCTATTCCTTGGTTTCTTACAATGTTTACACGTGAGTATGCATTATTTTTCTCTGATTAAGTGTTCTTGTATTTCTTAAGCATAATTTTTCTCACTTTTTTAGCTAAAGCCTTCCTAATTGGTATGATATATCTATCATTTAGTAGGTTGCTTATCATTTGCAAGGAATGTGTGTTGTGATTTGAGTCTCTACAGTGCCTGTCATGTACGTTCTGCCCTGATTTGCCAATAAGTAGCATTTTCCTTTTTTTTTTTTTAATTACACATGCAGTATTTAGGGAGTGTGCAAATGTTTCCAGTTATCTACTGGAAAAAGATATAATAGTGAAAAAATCAAAACATAGCCAAATCTCACCACTTTCCCTTGCCCTCATTCAGATAATGTAAAAAGAGAGTAAGTTTGTTTTTTGAAGGCAAACAATACAAGTTTTTTTTTCTCACTCTGACACATTCCTATTCCACTAGCACTAGTTTACCATTATATTCGTGCATGGATATTAGGAACAAGAAGAGCTTTATAATTTGGTGAGCTTTTAATGAAAGAGGACAAAATTAATAAAGCAAGTCTAGAAAGCAATTCAAAATCTTCTTTCCTCAAAGATCTCTGGAATTCTTTTTATTATCATGTCAACATTGTCAGATTCTGAATTTAAAAAAAAAAAAAAAAAAAAAAGAGAAAATGGCAGGATGAAAAAAGCCAATGGATAATTTCTCTAATGAACTATCAAAGAATTTAATGTGAGATTCCTGATTGCGATTTCTAAAGATCTTCACTGTAAAGCACTAATTCTTGCACTTGTCCATTCTTCTAAAACTTTCTTGAGAATCACCAGCTTTGGAAAACCAAGGAGATGGTTTCCTTGGCAATGAATTGCAATAAAACGTTCAAACTACTTGGTTGAAAGATAGCTTATTTTAGAAGAGCCACCTTCAGCTTTATATATAATATGCTGCTATTTTTAACAGGCCTTTCTACTTGTCTTTGCTTTGTTCTGTGAATTTTTGGTCTATTCTACTTGTTTTCTTGTAGAAATTTAAGTAGCTGAGCTTATTGATTAACTCATTAATGACATCGTACTATTGGAAAAACTGATATGCATGTCCTAATGCATAATTGCACTCTATTAAAAAAAAAAATAAATTGCCTAATTTTGTATGTTTGAAATCTGAAAACCTGCACGTTTTTCAGTAATTAATAATGAAAGAAAACGCTGGTGATTTCGAGAATAATCAAACTGCAGATGAAGACAAAACTGTGTAATAAGGTTGAGTCATTTTTGCTCTCAAATAAAAAATAATTAACCCTAAGATAGGAGAGTAAAAAAGGATATAGGCGATTCCTTAAGAGTGTGTGTATATATGTTTTTATTTAACTTATAGCTTTTATTATTGTGCTTGCTCATCATGCAGATGTCTTCCCTTTGCACAAAATTTTTCACTTGTGGGATACATTACTGCTTGGAAATTCCTCCTTCCCATTCTGTATTGGAGTTGCAATACTTCAACAACTGAGGGATCGTCTTCTGGCTAATGGATTCAATGAATGCATTCTCCTTTTTTCAGACTTGCCAGGTACAGAAAGAAACCCTAATTCTTCCGTCTTTCTACTGAAAAACTATGTCTTCCTCCCATGTGTTGCTGAAGAAATTGTCTTGCATGTGAATATATACTACAAATCTCACATGTGTTTTGAGATCATAGTAGATTTAGGCAAACTCACTGGCAGAATGTGTAGTTCTTAACTACTGCTTGATGAAGTTAGTAGAAGTTTTTTTTGATGTCATTAGCAAGAATTAGGTGAGCTTGTTGTTATTTGCAGGTGAAGGTTGGAGTAATTTCTTGTGAAATTTAGAACATATTTAAATAATTCATAAGGGACTGTTTATAGACGTGCCATGTATAAAAACAATCCAGCTGACAGGAATTTCTTAGTGAAAAAAAATCAGTGCTGTTCTGAACAGTGATTTTCCACTTTAATGCTGGTACTAGCCTGTTTTCCTTCTAAAAATAATTGAACTTCTGCTGTGGAAGCAATTAATGTGAAAAAAAATAGGGAAAGCAATATAGAAGCCATTGGAATTGCCCTGTGTTAAATCAATTTCCATATTCAATGTAAAGCTTTCAAAAGAACACCCAAAATTAAATTGGGGGCTGCATGATCATTGTGCTCTGTTGTCTTGTTCAGTGAAAGGTTGTAGAGTGATCCATACAGACAAGTGTTGCATCTTAAAAAAAAAAAAAAAATGAATTGCAGTTAACCATGAACTTTGGGTCTTAATTCTGCGAAAGTTTCTTGTGAGACAGTGGAATACATTTGAACTGCGTAAGCCCTCTTAGCTGAGAGATGTGTATCCATTTGTGATGGACTGATATTTGCATGAATTGGAGGGCTGCTGCCCCCAGAACACAGAATCACAGAATGCTAGGGATTGGAAGGGACCTCAAAAGATCATCCAGTCCAATCCCCCTGCCGGAGCAGGAACACCTAGATGAGGTTACACAGGAAGGCGTCCAGGCGGGTTTTGAATGTCTCCAGAGAAGGAGACTCCACAACCTCTCTGGGCAGCCTGTTCCAGTGCTCTGTCACCCTGACTGAGAAGTTTCTTCTCAAATTTAAGTGGAACCTCCTGTGTTCCAGCTTGTGTCCTTACGTTCTTGTATTATTTCCCTCTCTCCGACCCTGGATCTTACTAACTTTGTATGCATCTTGGTTAAGAGGTTGTACTGTTTTAATTGTGTGGTCTTTCTTAGGATAACTTGAACTTTGGGCTAATTCTGGGCCAATAATAGGTTTTGGGGGTTCTTTTTGAACACCATCTGTGCAATTCAGTAATTCATAATTCATTTAAAAAGATGTCATTCTTTTTCAGAAGAACTGAATGTGAAAATCAAGTTTGGAAGAGCATTTAAGCTTAAAAGCTCGTTAAGTCTGACAGTCTTCACAACTGCAGTTTACAGAGGGTAGCAGTACTTTAGGATGTGGCAGCAAGCAGGCTGAGGCTAAGTTGCATAAATCAGTCTCTCAGAAGTTCAGTGAGTTCTCACAGATTTCTCTGTGATTTCTCTTGATATTATTGTCACAAATTCTGTCTCTCACTGTATACCTTTGAACATGTGTCTGAATTTCAAGAGTTTGCTTTTCTGCTATCTTCCAGTTTAGTATATGCTATGCAATTGCTACTGTATTTTTCAACTTTATAAGAAATTTAATTAGGCCTTATAGTGTGGAGTTTTTCCATTTTCAGTCTCTATGCTTAGTTCTTTCAAATGCCCATATTAAATTTAACTTGGTATCTTCATACGGTCTGAAAGGTGAGTGCTAAACTAAAAAATTCTCTCTCCCTTCCCTGCTACCCATCTATTATCTGTATGTCTTACTTAAATATACATTCACTAATGTTTAATTTATTTTCTTGCCTAAGGTAATTTCTCCCTATTTTTTTCCCTTGAGTGGTTCTCAATTATATATTCCAATTTATCTTGAGCCAGCTGATTTACTGACAGTTGAAGTACTTCATTCTGAGGTCATGTTTTAAGAACACATTAGTTCTTATAATACACGTCTGTTTATATAATAAAATTAAATCACTAAGATCTGTAGTGTTATAATGTACACGCTTTCTGCTTATTATAGTTTATGACAACTTTGCTGATACTCTGGGAAGATGTCTTGGTAGACTGTTGTTTCTGAAAAATGTATTTATTTTTTTTAATGGTGGTTATGTCTACAATATTTTGGATGTCAAAAGTGGCACAATTAAATTTTGTGAGATTAATCCAAAGCATATCATAAACTGACTACTGAGGGGAAAATAAAATGAGGATGAAAGACAATCCTAGTGTGACTTAAAAGTTAAATGTTGTTGGTCTAGCTGAGACTTTTGTAATCAGTAACTTCTTTGAGCGTGTAATTATCGTAGCAGACCTTCTCTTTCTGACCCGAGTCTTATTTTTGGTTAAGTAATATTGACTGGTTATGCTTTTTGTCACCTGTGACTTCCAAACAGGACTTCTGTTATTTTGGTTAAAAGAAATTGTGTGCCATGCCTGAGAATTTTCTGAAAGTAATTTACAACCAACCTTCACCTGAAACTGGGTCACATTGAGGAAGAGATTATATTGTTTGAAACATCTTCAGTAATTTCAATCTAAAAGCAATTGTTGGTCAACAGTCTGAAACTCCTGTGGTTTTTAAGCTTTCTGTGCCCTGGAACAGCTGATCTCAGGCTGCCAGTGAAAGTGACTTGCTTTCCAGACTGATAAATCTATTTCATTACAATCTTGAAACGTTCTGGAACACTTCTTCTAAGGTTTCTTGTTTTTAGAGTAGTACTTCCTGAAAATCTATATTTAAAGTTAACATTGGAAAAAAAGCAAACCAAAACAAAAAAACGCAAACCAAAATAAACAGCAAAACAAAACATTGCTTTATTTCCAGTTCACTGCATAGAACACATTTTCAATACCTTTTTAAAAAGTTAATGATGTAAGTGAAAAGAAGGAACTCAGTGCCATTATGGGTTACTTGATTCTGAAAGCCCTTTCCAATGCTTGTCTCAAAGCTTTGGCTATATTTTATCTATAAAGCCCAATACAGTTGAGCATTGCATGTGATTATTGTAGCTTGACTTGATTACTAAGTTTATTATTTGCTGTACAAGTAGTACAAAGTCACCAACACCTTTTGTTAGGAAACAAACCCAGGAAGGAAGCATCTGGTTCTGTACGGTTCTTTGCAAACAGTTGAAGGATGCCGTAGACGAATGCACTCCCACTTGGAATGGGTACAGTATAGGGACTGGTAAACAGATCTTCCTCTGGAGAGCCGTGCCAACGTCATCACTGACACACAGAGGTTAATTATGGCCTTGAGAAGTGATAGGGCAAATAACAAAAAAATGGGGGCAGATGCTCTTAGAGAATAGGTTAACACCAATCCTAGGCATGAGATAAAACATCCTTTCAAATAAGCCTTTTAGGTTAGTTCACACAATAAGCTCCTCTTCTGTAGTTTTGGAATGAGAGATGGGTCCCTTCTCTTAATACTGTGCACCTTAAGGAAGTGTCTTTTTGCTGACTCCAGGCTAGTCAGGCTTCCAAAGAACAAACCTTGGCCTCAGATAGGAAGTCCAGAAGGACTGGCTCTGGAAAAGCAGTCCAGTGCAATCAGGAGCTACAGAAAAACTGTTGAAGTGGAAAATGTAGAGGATTCTTATTTTGTGAGACGCAGGCATGTAACTTTAAGATGTGACATGTAGTCAAAGATCTAACTATCATCAAACCACAAAAATAAATGACTCTCCAAGGAACAGAGTTTCTCTAATGTGGGAGAAACAGTTATCTGTTACCATTGTAGTGATGTGCCAAAATGCTGAATGTCATGATGGTGAAAGCCCTGTAAGTGCTTAAAAGGATTGCGTCAAGCTCAGAAATGGACTAAAGAATTTTTAAGTGGAAATTCTGCACTAAGATTGTATAATGCAGTTTTCAATGATGTGTTTCTGCTGACAGCAGCAGAATTGGACACACATCAGAGAACTCTACTTTAGGTATGTATCCAACCCTAGGTAGTTAGCAATTTGCTTGCTGTTGTTTTTCTTCCTAAAAATCCTTTGTCTGCCCACATCTGTGATTCATACACTTTTGTGCCAGAATTTCTGGTGGTTCAGCGTTCAGTTAATTAAGATTTGGTAGGAGGATGGCAGTTGGCCACCAAGCCCACGCAGGTTTTGTGGATGTTTCATGCCTGTGCCCATTTGTTTCACCACTTCTCAAACGAAAATGTAAACTCTCAGATCAAAACACCAACTTTAAAGAGACTGAAAGAGATACAGTGAAGTATTCCATATGCCAGTGAGCAGCAGAAAACAAAGGTAATACAGTGTTTTGATTAGGGTTTGGCTTTTTATCATACAGTTTTGAAACTATCTTATTTCTTAGATTAAGGTGCTGAGGAATAGAAGTTGCAATAGCTCTTTTAGAAGGAAACTTTTTTCATAACTTCAGCTATGAAATTTTGACACATGGCTCTGTTGTAGCATGCTCAAGTTCAAAACTGTTGTCCCTCATGGAAGATGACACAGCAAGGTGATTTTGGCATGAGTTAGTGAAGCTGGACTGCTTTTTCAATTAAAACAGCAATTGGTCTCTGCAATTTGGTCTCTGTCACATTTGGTAATGGTGCTATAACTGTCAAAAATGGATTGGAAATTTCAAAAGATGTCAGAATTAAAAAGGAAATAACGTTTCCATTTTTTCTTGAAATATGTAGGTCAGGCTGATATTTGCAAAGACATCTTTTTCTGAACACATCCCTCATTTTTGCTGTGTTAGGTAGCTTTTTGTAAATGGAGGTATATTTCATAACGCAATTTCTGAAGATTATTGTTCCTGAATAATGGCATCTGTGAAGCAGAAACTGTGTGTAGCTGCTAGTAAGTGGTTATTTGTTTTCCATCTTTTTTCTTTTTCTTTTCTGTTTTTTTTTTTCTTAATGACTTGTAGCCAGCTGTGGATTGGGAGCTGGCTTTGGTGCAGAAGCAGAGCAATTTGTTAGGGCACATCTGCTCACC